CACATACACTTTGGGGCAGTGCAGATATCGTAGGCCACTACATCCAGAGAAATATCAAATGATATTATCGACTTATTGATTTTGTTCGCAGTTTTCGCTTTAGATAGCTAAGAGCTGGTACACTGGGTAAGTTGATATGCTGATTACAAATATGATAACCACTTAAAGGTTTATCGACTGGCTCTATTGAGTTGTTGATTTTTCGCAGCTTCTGGTCAAAAGCGCGCGGGTTCGTGTAATGGGCTAACTTGATATGTCAGTTACAAATACGATAATCTTTTGAATATTTATCGATCGATTCTACTAATTTGTTGATTTTTTGCATGAGGAGAGTTGATGTACTGGGGTAACTTAATATGCTGATTACAAGTTTCATAATCGAAGGCTTAGCGATTTATTTCATCAAGTTAGCGGTTTTCTCACTTTGTACTACTGGAAATTAGTGAACAATGGTTTGTTAATTACGAGTATGTATTATTCGAGATAATTTCTACTACTTTAGTGGTTTTTTGGTTGGATGCTATCAATTAATGCAAGACGAAACTGTTCACTACTATAGGTTTCGCTACCTCTAGCAAGTTTACCTATTCCAGTAAGCTGCAAACCCCAGGCATCGCCAAACTTCCTGCCACATACTATTCAGCCAAAGCTTAGTTCAATCAATAATTTGATATCTTGAAATTCTGAATACAAGGAAGTAATCAGAAAGGGCATTATAATTATATGATAAGAACAATCTCTTCAATTCTAAAAAGAAATATTTTACTCAGCCTCTTGTCTCCCCGTGCTAATCGGATTGAGTATCGGGCGCGGTCACAGTGACTTCACAGAAAACCCGATAGGTCATTAAAAGCGCTGTGAATATTGTCTCTCTTCAGGACTCTGACGAGGGTTCGACACTGAAGACAATGAATCAGTGACATCAAGGATTTATTGCTGACAACTCGGTGCAATCAAATTCAGTTTTCTTCCAGTAACACTGAAATTGATTTGAAAGCAAAAGCTGTATCCTAACGAGCAAAACTTGGGATATTCATTACACCTGGCTGCACTGATTTCATTCTAACCTTGCTTAGTATTGCTCAGAGTTTGAGAACCCTTGTTATTGCTCAACCTTCCTCATTTCTATCATCTATTTACTATCTATATTTACGAATGTTTACAATCGTTAAAATGTCACATATAGCGACGACGACGGTGTCAGCGCTGACAAAATTTATTTGAATCTACATCAATCCCCTTCTTTTCAATTTGTCCATGTGCATGTAAAAATCGTGTATCAAATCCCAAAACATATACAACTCCATTCCTCCATGCATGCAAAATTTCTGTTTCATAGCTCACTTCATTAATAAATTAGTCTAATAACACGAGACAAATGGATTTTCAATCTTCAATGAAATGCATGGAAGAATGGAGTTGTATATGTTTTGGGATTTGATACATGATTTTCGCATGCATATGGGCAAATCCACAGTGGCGTATTCAGAAGTTTGAAGCACATAATCATCACATTAGCGTACGATCTTGAGATCGTGATGTGTCCTTTCTGATGGGTTCAGCACTGTGCGGACCAAAGCGGAAAAAGGTGGTGAGTCATTAGATCTGAAAATGAGTAAGATTTTCTTCTCCTCTTTCAGCAAGTCAGTGCGTCGTGGGTGGGCAACGAGTCAGAGAACCCATTCGAAACGGTTCTTACTAAAAAAGAAAGAGTTCTACTGAGAGAGACGTTTCAGGTATAATAAGTTGACCTCAATTGAGCGTGCTAAATCTGTCGCGCTAATTGCGAAAAACGATGCTTTGTGAAGACATGTTTTGCGGATTTGTTAGCAGTTATCTTTCTATTTAGAGAAAAGGAAAACTAACGTACAGTGAAGCATTACAATTTAACTAATTTTGCTATACTAATGTATTCAATAAGGTAGTTTATTACAGTAATCAGCAATCCTCTTGATCTGATTAGCAATTGAATCAGTAATACTCTTACACAAATTCAACATACTTCAAATTAACAACACCTCATTTTCATGAGAGGAGTACTGGAAATCAAAAGTTTTTACCAATGTTTGGATGAACTCCTCCAATATAGTAATGCTTTACAAGAGCAATCATTCTTTAATTGCTTTTAGCATTTGTTCCTTGATTTTCAAAATTTTCAAGAAAATTTGTTTTCAGCGTCTTGATGAACCAAAGGAAATAGTAGGAATGATATTCGTCGACATTGTGAACGATATCGAGCCGGAACTCAAAAAGGTATCAGAAATGTGCAGTATATTTCATTTGTTGCATACCAAGATGGGTAAAAAAAAACATGCTTTTATAGAGCGATTTAGAGCGGTAAGAGAGAGTACAATTTGAGGAGAGATCGAAATATTTCTAGTGCAGGTATTTGAACATCGCCCAATACCTTGCTCGAGCTGAACAATGTCCCTCTTCAGCGAAAAGTCTCTTCTTTGGCAACGTTAAAATGTGTGCAAAGAAACTTTGTTTAAAAATAACAGTTTGAAAATTTGCAATTTCATTTGTTTTTTTCACTCACATTAAAGAAAACAAAGCTGTTACGCCTCGCTTTTATGCACACATGAAATTTCCATTTCAGTTCTCCAATCTCTCCCAAGCGCATATGGACATCAGTACCACTTGAAAAATATTTCGCAAATTTTTGATTCTTTATGACTCTTTATTCCAATGAAGCATTGAAGAAAGTTTGTGCCTCAAGCCTCTCTGCATTTCTGAGCGCAGATGATACGGTTATTTAGGAATAAGCTTTTGAGATTTAAAACAAACAAAAAATTAGTACGACGGATCCGGCTCTTTGAATTATCTTGAATTGTAAGAAGATCAAAAATTGCATAATTTCATTCTGAAGAAACATTCCGACAAGAAAAATTGGCATATTTAGCATACAAATGTACGAGTTGAGTAATTAGACTAGATGAGGCGCTTTGGAGCGCTAAGTTAAGCAGATTCTTAAGAATGGCATTTTACAACTTATTTTGGGAATGGCAGTCGTATCATATTGAAAAGCAAAAATAAGAAAAAGGTTGATCTTGTCGAAATTCAAAACTAAGCATTCTAGGTTTTTGGTGTCGATCGAGCTCCGAAAGCTGCTATGTTGAAAATGCCAAAATTCGGTGGACATGTTGCCCGATTTACCGAACTCATAGACCAGGTGGTGCTAGTATATAACGAATACTTTGTAGAAAGAATGTGTAAAGATGTGCCTGAAACATATTTTATTAAATAAAATACCATGAGCCATTGACAACAACTTTCACCAGGTGATGTACACATTAAGTAGAAGATGTTACTTATCTTTTGATAATCATGTTGTCAAAGAAAGTAAATCTGTTATTCAGACAACGTCAATGGTTGGGTATACCGAGAATCTGGTAGGTGCATGGCAGCTAGTGAGGAAAACGGGACGAATTCATGTCAAGCAAGGGTAAATTAGCAACACATAAATGGCGGGACTAATAATTTTAATTTGCAGATTCCTGGAACAAAATCAAAATCAGCTGGAAAAGAACTATTTTGAAATTGTAATGAATATTTTCATCGAACGATTCATACCGTTTCT